TCATCACTGCGGAGGTGAGTGGGTGTGGGTGAGGCATGGGCTGAGTGAGATAAACAGGGCCGAGAGAGTAATAAAGCATGCACACTCCTCATTGGTATACCTACGACAGTCTTTCCTCACTGCGTAAGTACACACCCCTACAAGACGCCCTACCTGTGACAAAATCGGCAAGACCATGGCCCTTGGCACCCGTCGCAGTAGGGCCCAGGGCGTTGGTGCTGGACCCGGAATTCACTATTCCCATGGTAGACCCGGGTAGTGGTGCGGTGAGTCGATCGCCTGTTTGGTACGCGGACGGGTTTGTACTGGGAGAGGGTACTCCGGGTAAGGATGCCGAGTACGTATTGGTATAGTTGAGCTGAGTCCTGTAGGGATCTGGTACGAGGACGAGGAAAGGAATAGGAGTGTAAGGGATGATTTATATATATTATTCGTTGGGAGGGGGGGGGGGGGAAACAAACAAACAAACGCATTTATAAGGGTATACATGTAACGTAACAGTTTATTGCTTGTCATAGCAGGGGCGAGTTGATCGCTGGGAAAGGACACGGACAGGGGATTACGTAAAGTACGTATTCATATACGGACTTATTCAATCATACAGAGTTTGCTGACATCTGGGAAATACCTTGAACGTAAAAACATGCGAACGCATCTGTGGTTTGTCATCTCCCATATCTGTTGCTAACTCGGATTGATTCGTCTGCAAGGACACCGTGGTGTGCAAACCTTTACGATGCTGTATGACTTGCAGCATGTGAGCTCATACACACACACACATATATATATACCCATACATACCCATACACACACACATATATACATCCCTTGACGCTAGCATCTGTAGCATTCCCATACCTGCTGCCTGGTCGTACTGATTGGCATACAAGGACACCATGGTGTTCGGGCTGGGTGTGGCATTGGCGTTGGGTGGCATGGTCAGGCTCACTTGCGACGGCACGGCAGTCAAGGGGAACTCTTTGGGGTCACCGGTCCTTTCTAGCAGACATTGAGGACAGCCCTTTTTCTGCTTCTTCTCGGCCACGAAGAAGTGGGGGATGGTGTTGAGACACATGTACAGTAACTTCTTCTTATCTACGAAGGTGGAAGAGAGAAGCGGGTGGTTAGGGTGTGGTATGTTTATGCCACACGTGAATTGATACAGCTCTACAATTGCGTTGATGAAGATCGACTCCATCTGGCCCTCTCCCCTATTCTCTCGACGCATACAACTCACACATAGAGACCACGTACACATATGTGTATAGTTTATGTATACAAAGCAGACAAATATAAAAAAATCAATATAATATAATATAATATAATATATATACATGTACATTTCCTCTTGCAGATATTTCACCACCACACATCACAGCAACGCTACACATACCTGGCAATGTTTCGAACTGGTGCGGGTGGGTGACGTGCATAATGTGGTCGTCGTGTAGATCGCGCAGATGCGTTAGCAGTTCCCTGGGTAGAACAGAGTGCGTGGGTAGGTAGTATTCTATTAATAGATCTTCGAGCGGTTCTACAGTAGGTAACAAAGGTACGATCACATACACTCAGAGACGAGAAGGTACCACGCCTCAAAACTGAACAGTAAACCGCACGTCCTTACAGGATTCTCAAGCGTCTATAGCTCATCCAAACGGCAACATAAAAGAACCGCCCCCCCCCAAAGGGAAAACCCAAGAACCCAAAGTATGTGGAATGGCAAAGGCCGGGGGTGTACCAACCTCAAGCCCATGGTCGGTGAAGGGCAGAACTGTGAGATGTCGATCTGTCGTCCGGGCAGCACAAACATGGGCTTCACACAGCACACCACACAGCCCACTATGCCCGTGCAGTACTTGCAGTCCTTCTTGACGGCTATGAAGCTCATGGGCGCGTCCCAGTCCTGTGAAAGGGGACAGGTAACGGGGACAAAAGGACCGGGTGTTTTGTGACAGGACAATATGGGGTACGGTATAACAACCGCTTGTTTGACCGATATAGAGATCATGGGTGGACCTTATAGGGAAGGGAATACTAAGGGCAAAATGAGGACATTTTGGTACCCCCGCCCAAAAAAAATCCTTGTGGTGTTTATAACCTTTTTTTTAACGGTCAAAAAGCACACGAGTGCTTTCTAACACCCAATCGTAATATTCCAAATAGGAGTTACCCATATGGTACGTTTGAAATGAGTGCCAGTGCATGCATGTGACTCAAAACGTAGCACACCACACAGCCCACTCCCCCGGTGCAGCACTTGTAGTCGTTTCAGGATGATACAGAGCGCCAAAAAGTATCCCACAGCCCCCAATTTTGATAAATTTGGCCGAGTTTTCGGAAACGAGAAAAGAAATTGCTACAGGCACGCATACCAGCAACCACTTATACACAACACCTATAAACAATTTCATTTACATTCCACAGGTAACTACATATAAACAATATCAATAGCAAATGAAACCGCTACCTATGCACCTAAACGCAGCCATATATACTCAATACATAAATGTAAACACGTGTACATAATATATAATACTCCAGTCGAGCCACTCAGAGACAGGGGTCATACGGGTGTGGCAGCTTTGTACGTCTTCTTGCGCTTGGAGACCATTTCGGTGACGCCGTAGCCGTCTGCCGGGCGTTTCTCCATGATCGCAGTATTAGATGTTACCTACCCGTGTTTGTCGGGGTGCCCTAGAGAATAAAGAATAGTGATTCGTAGTTGGAGAGTTATAATTGTATCGGAAGCTGAAAACCCCTTTTATGATGATATCCATCAATATAGCATAGTTTATCAGTATTCATTGAATAATTCTTAAAGATAATATATATATATATATATATATATATCAAACCCCATACTACCGTAAGAGATACACTAATATAGCAAGTGGCAGTAATACGGCTAAATAGACATGGCGAGTAAGATATATACGCCACGTCCAGGGGAAGCAATAGCACATGTTCGACAGGACATATGCGAGCAATATATATACAGGTGTACATACATCTTAGCATATAACCAGATTTACCTACACTGAGATATTCGGAGGTGTGCAGATTGTACATTTGTATCGTAACGGACAATTCTTTTCATGTAAATGTGTGTCACACTCACTATATATACATACATGCATTGTGTATACACCAAGTCGATGCGAATAATATGAATTCCCACCGATTGCTTGTATTAGCGACTACCAATGCGCATCTGACACAACTTTCTGGGGGGTTCAGGGTTACAAAAGAGAGCGACTTTGTTCAACCGCTGCATTGACGACGTGACAAAGACAATGAGTGGTCATAAACCACACAGTCCTTATCCTTATACGTACCATTCAGCACCCCATTCGCATGTGAATGTACACAGATTGTGTGTGCTTCAGTTGTCTAATGTAGTTACTAACTCTAAATCCGACATATACAACAGGAGAGTGGTCTTACTATATTTGGATGTGACCCTATTCGCATACTTATTCAATTAAATGCGTGTATATACAGTTGCAGTTCTCGCAATAAGAGCGTACAGTGTTGGCCCGAACGTAACAGTACACCATCCCACAGAACCTCGCAATGCGCCATGTCTTATAAATAGGTGTACACACGCAAACCCCACCCCAAAACCCCACATCCCAACTAAATGAGGCGCTAGTGTCAAACTTAAGCCCTTTTCTCGCGTAATGGGTGAATGTACCGGCCATAGACAGGTGCTATAGTAGGACCATATTCTATGTAACAAGGTGGATACTCCATCTTAAATGAATTATATAAACAGAGACACAGCTGTAGTTATATATACCGCTGTACACGTTACCAGAGCTTACTATGGAAGAGCCATACCTCACATAACAAGACAAATGATTCACTGGAACGTAACTGATACTAAAGTAGAATAGTCGCCTGAGTGTTAAAAAGTTTTCCCACAATACGAAAGAGACTGAGCATGTTACGAGACGACGACGCATGTAGTGTGCAGTGAGTTGTCCACGCCCTGTCTTATTCACACAACACACACATATGCCAAGAGGAGTGTAGCACGGATGTAGTGTTCAGCGGATGCATCACGTGCTCCTTCATTTTAAATCACATGTACGCCTCACTATTGCACGTTTCGCACGAGAATGAGAATGCCACGGGATGTCCAACACGCATGTAGCGTGCATCCGATATAACACGCAGTCCTTCATTTATGTATACATACGCACGGCTGTCAAGAGGTAAGCCATAGACTTAATATGTCTTTCATACACACACACACACACATACGCGTAGCCGTACCTTTATCGGTACAAGACCTCTGGATGGAGTGTGGTGTACAGTCCCAGAAAAGCCTAATCCCCCTGACACGGTCAAGCAAGTATATAGTATACACTTGGAGGCGAGTAACCTCACTGTTGTGTTTAAATATGCCCCACTTCACAGGGTTTACTGGATACTAGTAAGCTATACTCAATGACCATGTATCCTGGGGGGGGGGGGGGGGTTGTATGTGCACCTTGTTATGCCGCTATAGTCCTATAGACCCGATCGGTTGTGTTTGCAGTCCTCTAGAGAGACCTATACCCGTTTTATGTAAAATGTAAGTGCAACAGATACCCAGAACCTTTTTGTGCGAGTGCGTCTTTCTGTTATAAAGTTATGCCTCTATTTCCTACACAGCTGGATATGGGGCGTTTGGAGCTGGGAGCAATAAAGAATTTGTGTTTTATTCTCATGCTGTTGTTTTTATACCCCTTTTCCTATATAAACTTGTTGGGGTTTCAGACATATTCGAAATTTTCCGTCGGAAACTCTAAATTTTATTCAATTTGCATCAGTTTTTATTATCAGACTTCCCTCCAGAAAATATTTTCGCCACTTTTTATTTCCAACGGTCGCTGCCTCTGATATGAGGTTTGGGGTTTGAAACAAACATTTTAGGACATATTTGTCACTTTGCCATAGGTCCCCAAAACCCAAGTGACAGTGCCAAAATTTAAAAAAATTGCAAAACCCCTGAATGTCGGTGTATTGAACTATTGGATTATTTATATTCACTTTTCCGATCCATTGTGTGATTTCGACGTGCCTTCAGAGTCTAGTCAGAGGTTTTAATGCAGAAGCCGAACTGAGAGTATTCTAAAGGCCGTCATCACAAAAGCAATGACACTGCACAATATTAAACGTCGTAATTTCTCGGGCGAATATGATTGATCGAGAGAAGGAGATGTGTCATACGGGTGAGACGACTTATGTGTATTGGGATCGACAAATGAGATCGCCACAGATTGTGAGATAAACATGAAATATTTAGCTAATATATGTATTCATTTATACAATTTACTAAGTGTATACATATATGTTGCACTTGTATGCATGTATAATATAAATACATATTTAAAACTTGCTTGTGGTACATATGAGTATGACTACGACTATAAGTCTATAACTACAGACTCTATACATATGCATGAGCAGCTAGTAGTATACATCAGGTAGCAAACAGATGAAGTGTCCCTCCGATCACTATCCATCCAGTACTAAATAGACCACTCGACTAGACATAGTCAGGGGGAGGTCAACTCTCTGTATCTACATAAAAATCTGAAAATATAAACATAAATGAGACACGCACTTCTTGAATAAGGTATGCCATCTTTGTGGTAGTGATTTCCCTCACGCATGCACTATCACTTTGCAGCCTTTTGAAATGAAGCTCTTCGATTCGTGTATCGAGTTTACTACCATTTATTAAATGGCCGCAGCATATGTACTGGTGCATTGCATCGTGCATCTATTTTAGGACTGTTTGATCACCGGCAGACTCCGTTTTGAGCTCATACATATAGATAAGTCATGTGAAGTTTAGTGGCCAGTTCACCGTTTAACATTAAAATGGGTATATACATATCTGAACGTATTAGTATAGTTACGTGTATCTGTACGCACTCGTTATCACATAGCCATTACGTTGAAGGATTCAAGTCAGCCACATATATTTAAATCCATAAGTTGTGCTACGTTTTTGAATATGCATACTGTATTACACGTTAATCTGTATTCAAAATCGGAATGAATACATAGAAATATATCTATACATGATTTTTGATATAGAAATATTTGCATAGAAATACGCATATACTTATGCACGTCTACACACACATGCACACACGCAAACACACACACGCACACACACACTCTCTCTATATATCACGCACACACACACACACGCTCTCTCTATATTACACACACACACACAATCACACACGCACATGTACACACACATATACACACACACACACACACACATACGCACACACACACACACACACACACACACACACATATATATATATATATACGTATTTAT